CCGTCTGTCTATCTGGCTAAATAGTTGCCAATAATCCGTGTCCAAATTGATCGGGTTGCCGTTTATGGTAATGGACGAACTTTGGTTTGGCCAAAATGTTGGCCGTTGGCCGTTGGTCACTGGCGACTGGCGAATGCTTCATTACCGATGCACAAACTTGGGCGTGCGTCTCAGAATGATTTGCAACGGTTTTCAGACGGCATTTTGCATTATTATTGCTTCATTTTCTACTCCATGAAGAATGCTGTCAATTAGCGTAAGAAAGGAGCAACAGTAGATGCTGTTTGCTTCCCATAGATTGATATAGCCGTACAAAATGTAGTCTACAACTTAACGTGCAGGAAACCCAAGCAGTGACAGCCGCCACGCCCAACTGCCTCATTGCGCCCCACTCGAGTCGACTGTAAGCCCATTTGGAACTGCTCATACATTTTCAAAATCGCATTTAAAGGTGAAGGTGCAATAGTTTTAGTTGGCGGGTATATCTGGTTCGCTGACTCTTGGAGCCATGCCAGCCAGCCGGTCAGCAAAGCTTAACAAAATGCTCGCAAATTAAAAATGGAAAAAAGTACAGATATATGGGCTAGAAGAATAATAGCCATGGCAAAATCAACATGTGGGCGAGAATACTTTAAGGCAAAGCAATGGGGAAAAGCAACTTTAATATTACCCAACACTGCGGCGTATCAGTTACAAAAATCAGACCTTTGTGTGTGTGCGTGTGCACGCTTGTTATTGTATTGGAGGAACTGTATTTTCAACGACAGCACAGTAGAAAATGGAAAAAGGGAAGTAGGGTGGCTACGTTAAATTGAAAAATAACAAAAGCTTGCTGTATAAAATATACCAATACTTACAATATTAGTAGATTATTTTATTTTAAAATTTAAGCAAAATCAGTAAGTATACACAATATATTTATATTACATATAAAATTAACTTAAACGCATTTAAAATGCTTTTACTTTAAAATGGTTTTTATTGATATTGACATTATTATATTTGAAATGCGCGCTTAATATTTTGTAGCTTTACAGCACTAAATTTATCTTGCTCACGATGTGGCAGCACTGTTCATTTACTCGTTAATTTCTGGCATTCGCTGGTAGAAACTAAAAAATTGTGACGTTGTGTTTTCAGTTGTTTCTGACAATGTTTACCAACAAACTTAATTTTAATGCATAAATAAAATACATACAACGTCCATTTTCGCGCTGTGCTTATCATTTAATGAATATGCTGAAAATAGGCCAGCTTCACTCTCTGCATATTTCTACCATGCAATGCGGCTTGTAACCTTCTCAGCTTTGCTTCACTAAGCACAGCTGTGGCAACTGTTTGTACCGCAACAACAACCACCTGCAAAACTTTCTTTAGTGCGTTTCGACGAGAGCACCGATGTCAAAGATATGTATTGAAATCCAAACCAGAAACAACTTGTTGACAAAGCCTATCGGCAGCTACCTGTGCGCTAATACCGCCCTGTTCTCGCTCTGTTTACATATTCTAAGTAATCATAAAACTACACGTCAGCAGTCCAATTAGTGCAATCGGTAATTTATATTATTTATATTAAACAGTCAACAATGTTATTAATTAGTTTCACGTATGCATCTAGAATATGCGTCAACTAAAGGGCAAGGTAAAGGAGACGCGTAAGCAAAAAAAGGAGCGCAAATTGGAAAACGCACAAATGCAAAGCAAAATTGGAACTGTTGTATTGCCGGCATTAGGTGCTATAGCTATGATGGTAAGTAGTTATGAGAAGTGCTTTTCTTTAATAAATAAAATATGTATATTTATTATAGATAGTGGCATTTGTTTACCTGAAGACGAGACCTGCAGTTCTGGCCTAAAAGGTGGTGGAAAAAGATAACTTGACGTAGTTTAAGCTAAAATAGACAACGATTTTAATTCAAAATTATTCATATTCGATTATACATATTTGRTGCCCTGTTAAATGTGCAATTTGTTTTTAGATATTGTATGTATTACAAAATATAGTTAAGTGTCAACAAATCCAATGACTCTTTTACAGATTTACTAAATGCACTAGTGCTGTATAACGTAGTTATTGCAGTGGTGCAACTGTTGCCCGCGCATTTGAATTTTAAAAGAGTGCTTTCTAAACTAATCAACTTCTAGCATTATTAGCATATTTAGATTTCTGGTGTTAACACACA